ATATATTATTTTATATATATATATATATATATATATATATATATATAATGTTTTAAATGTTTATGTATGATAATACAATTTCTTAATTTAATAAATAATTTTTATTTGACATGATATTATATTTATGTTAATATTATTTATTTTATAATTTATTTTAATTATAGTTGAATATTTCTATAGTTTTACAATTTTAATTATATAAAAAAATTAAGATTAATATATAATGATATCAAGTTGAATTGATCCGATGCTATCCGTGACATAATTGGATAGTTTGGATTAAAAAAAATCAACCCATCTGACGAAAGATATATAGAGAGAAAGCATGAGAAGAATGTACTGGACAAAAGTCATGCTTAATTCAATGAGCCACAAATTTCCATCTTTTATTCTCTCCCCTATTTTTTAGTGTAGTCTATGTATGTATATGAGTAAACTAACAAAGGCAGCATATATATATATATATATATATATATATATATATATATATAATCAAAACTGAACTGCAATCAAATCCAAACAAAATTAATTGAGTTACACAACCAAAAATCATATGAACCCCTAAAATTTGTCTGGTTTCGAATAAAATTAAAGTAAATGTTCAGACTAAAAATTTTCCCTTAATAACGTGCTTCAGGAGATAAAAACTCAAAAGTAAAGCAGAGGAAAGCAAACACGTACATCGCGATAAGTGGTTGTGTTTGTGGCACGTTCTCCATGGTAACGAGAATCAACAGAAATTGCAATATATCCTCGCGAAGCATACGCCTGAAACACCAAGGAGAAAAACCGAAATCGAAGCCAGAAACAAAATCCGCGATTATAATCAAATCAGTTTATCACTCAGAGCTCAGAAGTACATAGATTAATACAGTTGCAAATGAAAAATAACCTTAAGCAATGGACGCACGGATTCTTTGTTACTGTACGAACTATGAAGAAAAACAACCGCAGGCTTTTTTCTCCGCTTTTCGCGTTCCTTCAACTTCAAAATCAACACCGGCAACCGTCCTTGCTCTCCCTTCTACGATCCAAAATCAAATCCAAATAACAAAATCATCGATTCAAAATTCAACTCCAGAGAAAAATCGTGTTAATCAGTTACTACCTCTATATTCAAGTACAAGTTCTCCTCTTCGAGCAACTCTTCAAGGTTCCCTATATCTGCCTTCGGAGTCGACTCCAATATCTCGATCTACATTGTTTTCATGCAATTAAAACAATAAATGAAGTAGAAATCGAAAATTTAAAAAAAAAAAAATGCTATGAATTTGAACCTCTTTCTTCGTTGGAGGAGAGCTCTGAAACAAAGGATTCTCCACTGGCTTCGCGAGTTCGACGGTTAGTGGAACTGAAACATAAATAACGAACGAGATTCAATCAGAATAATCGTTGCGCAATACGAAGCGAGATCGTGTAAGTTAGTAACAGAATTTCGATTTTTATACCTTGAGCGAATCGCCTACCACGCAGCACTTGCAGGAACTCTGAACGGAGCTTGCTCTGAGATTCTTCAATGCCTTCTTTTCCCGCCATTTTGGTTTGGATTTTATAGTGAAAGAAAGTAGCAGCATAGCAGCTAGAAAGCAAAAGGTAAATGACGAGAATTGAACTATTCAATGCTATTATCTTATTAGGATTAAAATTCATTTTAATCCTGAAAAAAATCACGTTGTTTTTGAATATATGACAGGATGAACGATCAGATTGTAACAACAGTGAGTTGCAAGAAAGCTTCACGTCCTGGCAACTTCAAAGAAGGGTGATGTGATAATTTAAGTGGTACAAGTTAACCATGAATTATAATATTGAAATAATGAATAATAAAGATCAAATAACTTTTTTGTGGCTGACTGGGTTGATAAGGCCAACAAAGCCTCCCGGCCTTATAATATTTTTTTATTCCAAAGAATCAAATTTGATATTAGAAATAACTGATGTGCACTACTTAATTAAGATAGGTTTTTCTATTAATTTATAGTTTTTAATATGTTTGAATAAAATAATTTTAATGGAAAATTTTAGGTGATGTATTTTATTATATTATTTTTTGAAAGAATATATTTATTATATTATTTGTAGTTAATTTGTTAGTAACATTATACAATTCAAAACATACATATATAAATAGATAGGTATATATCATTTCATGTTATTTGAGAAGTTTTATTATTGATTTAAGAAGTTATTAGAGAAAAAAAAATAGTTTAAACTTCATAAAATAATATGATTTATAAAAAAAATGTTTTGATGAAAATGATAGTGATCGATGAACATATTCAGATAAGAAATCACAGTTTATCATTAAAGTTGATAAGAAATCAATAGTGAACATGGGAAAGAAATACAAATAAAATAAAAATATGGAAGATTACACGTCTAATACTGATAGAGTTTGGGTCGGTGGGTTCTATAGCTATTATGATGATAACTAGTAGCAATTCATGTAAATCATTACTTTTACTTCCCTGTTTCCTTTCGTAGTTGTGTTGTCTCTTAGTGCTTTTTTTCACTTTACCTAAACCCAAACACACATGGCTGAATTGGGTTAGAAAAATATGAGGAGAGTTAGCAGATATTGGTCCACCAAAGTTTGTCCAAAAGACACAAAAAAGAACAAATATTAAAAAATATCGATTCAATTCTTTTTAGTACACACATTACCTCTTTTTATTATTTATATTTTGATATTTCTTAAATATTAGTGGATATGCAAGTTAACCATTTTGTCCTACTTTCAATATGTCGAGTTGCGTGTCAAGACAAGTTTGTGGGTTGAATAAGCTAACTTACTCCTTTATTATGTTATTAGGATTAAAATTCATTTGAAAATGAAAGATGTATCTCTTTGTTGGTTAGTTTATTGCAAGTGTGTCTATAAAGAGGGAGAAAATCACATCCTTTGTTCAATATATGTAAGGGAGCTGCAAGAAAGCTTCAGGTCTTGACTTTTATCGGCAACTTTTAAGGTGGATGATGATTTAAGTGGTTCATGGTGGATTAATATCTTTTAATTCTTAGATATAACATAATATAAGTAATGGACTATTCATATCAAGTATCTTTTTTCACCAAAATTATGTGCCCATAAAAAAATCTATTAAAACAGGTTTAAAAAATTATTACATTTATGTTTTGGTCATAAATCTACAATCACAATATTAGCTTTCTCTATTGGCAGAGTTTCCAAAATAGTTCAGTCTAGTCCAATTAACCTTGACCACATGGGTCAGGATCAGTAAAGTAAAACTTACAGGGTCCGAAAGCCCAAAATGTCTTATAGGCTAGACTCTAGAGGTAGCCCATAGATTATAAATTTTATCAAAATTGAACCATTTTTTTTAATTAACTAACTTAATCCACGGAGAAGACCAACCAACTTTATGGGTTGCTTGATCCATTCTACGAACTGTATAACTCAGTTTTATTATTTTGATAAATAAAATATCAAATAATATAAATTAACGAAAAAAACAACAACATTTTAGAACTTAACAAGAGTCCAATCTCAAAATGGCTCCACTTTCATTTTTGTTCCTAATCATTGATTGTGGTTTCAACGATCTATGATTATATATTAATATATTGGTAAGATGAAGGTGAAAATGAACAACAAAATATTTCCTCCAATTTTTATTTATAATCATTTTGACATTAATTTATTATTATTATTATTATTATTTTAAAATAAATGATTTATTAATTTTTTTAATTTTTTATTCTTGATAATTAATTTATGTTTACGAAAAATGTATTTATTTATTTTTTAATATACCTATTTTTTTTCTAACTACCTAAAGAGTATAACAGAAAAATAAATAATAAATATTTTAAAAAATTAAAATATCAATTATTTTCTTAATTTTTGTGCATAATGTTAAACGTCAAAAAAAAATTACAATGGGTTGAGAACGGGAATGAAACTCTATGAAATCGAATTTTTCGTTGTTTCTCAGTAGCTTCGTGTAGTGGGATCCGGAAAAAAAATAGAAAAGGTGATTTCATTATATTTTTTAACTAAACAAAAATTAAGGACGAAAAGTCAAATTTTGAATCTTACGAAGATTATATACGAAGGTTGAGAGTTTTCTTATGACTAAAAACTTGTTGAAATTAAAACAAACGAAAATTTATCTGATAACTACTATGTCAAACGACTCAAACTAGTAGTTCAAATGACGACAAGTTACGGTCCATCATGTAGATGGAAAATTATCTATCCTATACCGTTATTTCATATTACTTTCTTTAGGACTAAAACCCCATGGAAAATGCAAGCATCTTTTCCTCGTTAAAAGAAAACCCACCGTACAGGAAAATTGATTATACTAGTTGTAATACGTATATATATATATATATATATATATATA